CACACATAACCTCACAGGGTCACATGGTGAGGTATGCTGAACATTGGGGGACTTAAGGGACTTTAGGAACAGCTGCATTGGTGCAGTGCAGGGAGTGGATGCTGCATCCCCTGGTGAGCCTGTGGTTGCTAGACAGTTGGGCAGGCCAGGAACCTTGACTGTGGAGATCAGCAGCTCAGGTTGCCAAGGATGGTTGTGTGACCAACCTCACCGCTGGCTACTTGGCCCTTGTGGGGCTGGTTCCTTGCTTCCCTCATCTACCAAGTAATGCTCTCCCCCCTCTGTGGAGACACGGGGTTAATGAGGCTTTATGCTTTGGGGAGAGCAGTGCTTTCCCCTTGGGGCTGATACAGAGCCTCTGCCCAGCTTCTTGCCACAGGTGTACCCAGGTGCCTCTGTCCCTTTAGTGCGCAGGTTGATTCCTGCTTTCAAGGATCAAGGAGTTGGTATTTTTGGCTTTTGGGGTGTACTGTTTATGTGGATGCTGTGAAATGATGCCCTGTGGGGCAGATACTGTCCCCTACAGTGGGCATGGCTATTACAGGAAACAGCCCTCCCCCACACCAACAGGTGCAGGCAGTATTTTGTCTGGCCTCCAGACTAGAACACCGAATCTTTGCCCCAGCTAACCCATCCCAGACCAGCTTGCATATAGGAGCAGCATGACCTTTGGGCTTCAATGAGATGCTCCTTTTTCCCAGCCTCAGTTTCTCCCCTTGATCAGGATGACCAGGGAGTTCCCTTCTTGATAATTGGGTGGTGCAGACATTGCAGAAGATGGGAGTTCACCTTTGCCTTAGGGAAATAGACTTTGCAGACTTGGGGTGGGAGAAGGTGACTGATAATGTTGGGTTTCATCTATGAGTTTTGGGACCTAATGTCATGTTTCCAGGCCTGGATTGGGGCCAGGGCAGTAAATATTTGGGTGTAGACACAGATGAAAAATTTCATTGATAGCACAAGCTTTGCTGTGGGATGGAGACTGGAGGTGGACTGCTTCAAGAGGACCTGCCTTGGAAGCGATAATGGTGTCTCTGGGGGCACCTTGGAGAGCCCAGGCTTCTTCTCCTTCAGGTGCCCATGTTCCCTAAGCTGATCACAGCACATATCCATGGAATCAGGAGTGCCCCAGACAAGTGACTTCTCTGGCCAGGATTCCTCCTCTCAAGTGAAAAGGGAACTGAGAACCTTGCACAGTGTGAGAGGATGAAATGGCAGAGGACTTCTGTTGCCCAAGTGCTGTGATTTGATTTCATGTAAATGGGTATAGCTGCCTTCTTTCCCTCACACTGGGAACGGTTGTGTTTGGGTGGGTGGCAGAGTCAGGGTGTGTGTGTGTTAGTAGAGTACCCAGGTGCAGGGTCAAAGCCAAACCATAATGATGTTTCACGGGAACTGAAGAGTCTCTTATGAATTGGTAATTGTGTACTTAAGGGTTACTTGATACTCTTGTAATGTATGGGTTGGAAATAAAAACATATTCTCTCTAAACCCAGTCAGTATATGCTGGATGGCAAAATCATCCCCGTGATATATCAATGAAAGGGGATTACTTTATTTAGAGAAACCTTCCAGTTCTTATAGTGCTAAGTAGGCTTTCCTTTATGGATTTCAAACTGATTGTATGGGCGTGACCACTATTTGGACTCCTGGTTGGCTCCTCTCCTTTAGTGTTGGGACATCTCTGCATATTCATTTCATGAATATCTATTGGCACCAACTATGTGTTGGACCATGTTCTAGGTGCTTGGAATAAAATCAGGCCTCAGGTAGACAGACACCTCTTTCCTTGTCCTGCCAAATGAGAAGGTCCACAGACACTTTCGCTGTGTTGTGTGGAGTGTGTGGAGCGGCCAGGGCTGTGGGAGATATGGCACAGGGTGGGTGTCTATGAGGATGATGGGAGCAGTGACTTGGGTACATGGAGGGGTCATCATCTGGAGGGAGGAGAAGTGATGGAGGTAGAAGGGCAGCCATCTTGGACATCAGGGTAGGCTGCATGCAGACTTTTCTGAGGACTGTGTGAAACTGAATAGGGTGAATATGGCTGGGCATTTATTTGCTATTTAGGTATTATTGTATGATAGTTATTTTTTCAAGTCATTTTAAGCTTGAGATACAAATTAAAGAATGGATTGTTGAAACAATAAATTATATGGACTCCAGGAGGTTTGAGAAGTGGTTGGGTCCCAGATGTGTTTGAGGGCAGAACCAGCAGTATTTTCAGATGGTGGGGTAGTTGGCCAGTAGGGCAACTCCAGATTGTAGTCTGAGCACCTGGAAGAAGGGATTTGCCCTGAATTGGATGGGGGAGGATGTGGTGGAGTATGAAGTCAGGTTATCTTCAAGTTTCTGCTCTCTACTCAGGATGCACTGTGAGTGCTGGGTTGTTAAGGGTCAGCCCTCCAGGAAAATGTAGTCCAATGTGTTTTGTGGTCTCATGAAGGGAGGTACTTGGGTCCTTGTTGAGAATCAGTTGTCTATATGTGTGTGAGTGGTATATTCTAGTCACTCAGATCTGGTCTGTCTTTATGTCTGCTATTACACAACCTTTGCAAAGAGTCTTGAAGTCAGGTAGGGCAAGTCCTCTGAATTTGTTCTTCATTTTCAATATTCTATTTTCTTTGCATTTCAATATAAATTTTAGAAACAGCTTGTTTCTACAGAAAAGCATGCTGAGAATTTTTGTATTGGGACTGCATTGAATCTACGCATCATTTTGGGGTATAATTAACACCTGACTCATCAACAAAACATATCTTTATTTTGGCATATTTTTTTTTTTAAATCTCAGGCTGTCTTTTTTTTTTTTTTTTTTTTTTTAGATTTATTTATTTATTTATGCATACAAGAGCTGGGGTACAGGCCAGAGATGCGGGGGGTGAGAGGATTCACCAGAGACAGAGAGGGGAACAGAACAGGCAGACTGACTGAAATACACTGCTGAGGGGAGCAGCGGGGGAGTCAGGAGAGGTCTGCTGCACCATGTGGGTAGCTCCCTGCTTGGGGATCGAACTCGTGCTGCAGAGGCTTTGAATTGCTTCACAGTGTGGTGCTTAACCCCTTGTGCCACCAGGGAGGCCCTGTAGCACTTTTTTAAAAAGCATGTTTATCCTTAAGTATTTTTTTACACTTATGCTATTGTAAATGGATTTTTTATAAAGCTTTCAGTTCCACTTGTTGCTGTTGTGTAAGTAATGCCTCTGACTTTTGTATGTTGGCCTTGACCCTGAAGAGAGCAGGTACTTACTTGGAAAAGCTCAGAGCTACTTCTGAGGTCTCCACCTTGACTCGGGAGGTAGAAAAGGACTAGGATGAACAGTGTCCTCTTTCCCAGTCTGAATGCAGCTGAAGAGAGTGGCAGAAAGGGGTTGTCCCTCCCTAGTTGACGTGGTAGAGCCTGCTCAGGGCTCAAAAAAAGAGCACCTTGTACTCCTTGGTGCCCAGAGGTCTTTCCAGAGAGTTCAATGATCTTTGCTTTTTTTTTTTTTTTTTAAAGATTTATTTATTTATTTATACATGCACTGGGTACAGTCAGAAGCGCGGGAAGGTGAGAGAATTCACCAGAGCCAGATCGGGGAGCAGAGCAGGCAGAAGGACCGAAGTACACTGCTGAGGGGAGCAGCGGGCGGCAGGAGAGGTCTGCGCGCCATGTGGGACCCTCCTCTGGTGGCCAGGGAGCAGCCGGGGATCAAACCAGCGCCACAGAGGCTGCGGGCAGCTTTGCAACCCAGCGCTCAACCGCTGTGCCACTGGGGAGGCCCTATCTTTGCTTATTTTTACAAGTTTGGTTTGATGTGTCTCTCTCCATCCATGAGTGGTGAATTACTGTGAACCCATTTTAAAAATAAAGGTTTCAGGGGGCCTCCCTGGTGGTGTAAGGGGTTAAGCCTCAGCACAATGAAGCTTCCTGCAGCTATTGCAGCATGAGTTCAATCCCCAGCCAGGGAGTTGACCCACATGGCGCAGCAGACCTCTCCTGTCTCACCCACTGCTCCCCTCAGCAGTGTATTTCAGTCAATCCGCCTGTTCTGCTTCCCACTCTGTCTCTGGTGAATCCTCCCACACATATCCCCGCACTCTCGCCTCCACCCCAGCTCTTGTATGCATAAATAAATAAAATAAATCTTTTTTTTTAAAAAAGGTTTCATATCAGAGTAGTGCTTGTCATGCATGTGGGTACAAGAATGAAAACAGAGGTGATACAGTATTGGGTAAGCCGCGTAGACAGACTGCTGGGTGTCTGGGATTTGGCTGCTAAGTTTAGTATGTACTTGAACTCTGGATGTCTGACCTCACAGAGGAGGGGGATTCCTGGGACCACACTTTTCTCAAACCTTGACAGAGTTCCTAAACTCTGTGGCTTTAGTTTTACTGTCTGTAAAGCAGTTCTGCCTGTGTTGTGTTCAGCCCTATGGGGCTGGAACCACTCACATTTGGGAGCGAATGCTTGTCCCCCTCTACTTATTGAGGGCAAGCTGGCTTTGCCTGCACTGGTGGGTGGTTTCTCTCAGGTCTGTGCTGGTGAGCAGAGGGATTACATCTGGAGAGTGTGGTCTGGGGAGGCTTCTAAATGTCAGACATGTCAGATCCATTACTATAAAGTGAGTGATCCTGTAATCTGGTCTGCTCCTAAAATTGTCTGGAATTCAGTGTTACTGAGTTTAACTGTAGTGCCTGGAACTCATTGAGCACCTATTAAATGCTAGGTATTGCTATTATATATCCCAACCATGAACCTCTTTTGTATGTTTGCTATGTTGGCATGTGGCTATCTCTACCCACCTTGCTGAAGACTGGCATGTATCAGGTTTTGCATTGGATACTGACAGAAATTTATTTCCTCAGTTTGCTTCCCTGTGGAAGGCATCAGAAGCAAAGTTTTGGTTGAAATTTAAAATGTTGCCATGTCATTCCAGGAGTTGGTGACATTAAAAATTGTTATGTTCCAGAAATGTTCCTAGGAAACTCAGTGTGTTTCTTTCTCTCTCTCATGTCAGGTTGGTCAGAACGTTGCTGTAAGTTGCCCTTTTGACGTAGCTGCAGCCATGGCCAGTTGGTAGGACCAGCATCCCATGCCCAGAAGTCAGGTGAGTGCTTGGGTGTAAGGTCTTGGATTCTATCAGCTTAGGGGACATTTGACCTAAATACTACTTCAGAAGCTGAAGGCCACCTCCCAGATAATCCCTCTAGTATCGCACACAGTGCCATTTCCATAAGGCCATCCAGACCCTGCTCACTGCTGCCAGGGCAGCTATTTGCTTTCCCTTCTCTTCTCAGGGGTCACTCATTTGAAAAGCCCAGGCCTAAATAGGATGAGCTGTCTTCCATGAGGATCAGGGGCAGGGGATAATCCTGGCCAGTGGTTGCTTCTGGGTAGAATTTTTCCTTAACCACTATCGGTGGTTCAGGGCTCTGTATTAGTTCTTGGAGCTGGGTGCCCTTACCACACCCTGTACCTATGGTGAATCTAAGACCAGACCCCTGTTCAAGGCTTTCAAGTGGACACCGTGTCAAGGGTTCTTAGGCTGTAGCAGGCAGAGCTGGACACCTGGTTGGGATTTTGTATGTCCCTATCAGGGCCCAGTCAGTGATGCTGGAGCCCAGGGCTGAGAAGAAAATGGAACTGAGTTTGTTAGCATGGAGACCTCCTGGGTTGTTCAGCTGCTGTCCCTTAGGGGCCAGTTGGCAGGTGATTTGCCTGGGGGTATGCTCTTCTAATGGTACCACAACTGCCTGGACTGGTTTTGGGACTCTACCTGCTGGACTGAGCAGAGTAGGTGATAGAAGGGGGAGGGGGGTATGTGTGTGTGAGAGAGAGAGAGAGAGCGTGAGAGAGAGAAAGAGCGAGTGAGTGTGTGTTTTCAGCTCTTATTCCTATACTAAGAAGATATGGGTATGGTCAAGCAATTCTGGTGTCAGGAAAACATTCCTGGAATGTTCTAACTGACAAACTTTACTGGTACTTTAAAATTTTTTTTAAATTGAGATATGATTTGCATACCATACAATTAACCCATTTATATTGAATAGTTCAGTGATTTGTGTGTGTATGTGTATTTGAGAGTTGTGCAACCATCACCTCTGTCTGGTTCCAGAACATTTTATCACCCAGAAAGAAATTTTTCCCCATGAGCAGACATTCTCTGTTCCCCTCCCCTACCTCTTGACAACTACTAATCTGCTTTCTGTCCGGCTTTGCCTGTTCTGAGTATTTTGTATGAATGGACACATACTATGTGGCCCTGTGTGTCTGGCTTCTCTCAGCATTATGTTTTGGTGGTTCATCCATGTTGTGGAGTGCCAGGGTTTCACTTCCTTTTATGACCAAGTAATATTCCACTGTATGGGTGGACACATTGTGTTTATCCTTCATCCAGGATGAATCTGGGCTGTTTCCACATGTTGGCTGTTGTGAATGGTGTCGCTGAGAACATCTGTGCACATAAATTGTGTGGACATGTTCTCAGTTCTTATGGGTATATATATCCCTGGAAGTGGAATTGCTGAGTCATGTGGTAACTCTTTCAACTTCTTGAGGAATCACAGACCACTGTCATGGTAGTTGCACCATTTCACATTCCCATAGTCCTGTTGAGAGCCTGAGAATTCTTTAGAAATGCTTAGTGGAGCAAAACCTGTGCCACTTTCCTAGACTTACTTGAGGCTCCTCAGTGTTGACATACCCATTACTTGGTGATGGTAGCAGTAGGTATTGTTGCTGTGTGGGTGTCAGCACTAACAGAGAGAGGAGGATAGGGACTCAGTTGCTCATGGTGATTATGTTCACAGAAGAAATTGACAGTTATTTGGGTAGAGTGTGTTTCCAGAGTCCACAGTCGTAACTGTCTTCTACTGATGTCGGGATCTGAATTCCATATAAAATGTCAGATAGCAGGAACGGTTACTGAAACATGCCTTCCATGAGTAATGGGAGGTTATGTGCCCCCCTCCTCCATTTGGGGCATGCTTAGACTTAAGAGTAAACATTATGAAGATCAATAGTTACTTATTCTGTGCTTGGCTGTTTATTTAAAATGGCAAGTGCTGTTGACGAAGTGGAGAAAGGGAACCGTAGTGTACTGTTTGTGGAGTTATAAATTGGTGCATCCTCTATGGAAAACAATGTGAAGATTCCTTAGAAAAGTTGAAAACATAACTACTATATGATTCAGCATTTACACTTTTTTTAAAAAGATTTATTTATGCATACAAGAACTGGGGAACAGGCCAGACGTGTTGGGGGAGGGTTGAGAGGATTCAGCAGAGACTGAGTGGGAAACAAAACAGGCAGATCTACTGAAATACACTGCAGAGGGGAGCAGTGGGCGAGTCAGGAGAGGTCTGCTGTGCCATGTGGGTAGCTCCCTGGGCCAGGATCGAACTCATGCTGCAGTTGCTGTGGATAGCTTCATAGATTTTGTCTTAATTCCTTTGCTCCACCAGGGAGGCCCTGCACCTTTTTTTTTGTTTAAGGACTTACTTATGCATATAAGAACCGGGTATAGGCCAGAGGTGGTGGGGTGAGAGGATTCACCAGAGACAGAATGGGAAGCAGAACAGGTGGATCCACTGAAATACACTGCTGAGGGGAGCAGTGGATGAGACAGGAGAGGTCTGCTGCTCCATGTGGGTCAGCTCCCTTGCAGGGGATTGAACTCTTGCTGCAGTAGCTGCTGATAGCTTCATAATGCTGAGACTTAACCCCTTGCTCCACCACGGAGGCCTCTAGCATTTGCACTTTTGGGTTAATTATTCCAAAACAATAACACTAATTTGAAAAGATATCTGTGTCCACCCCCCCTACAGCCCCATGTTCAATGCAGTGTTCTTCACGATAGGCCAAGATAAGGAAACAACCTAAGTCTCTGTTGATGGATGAATTGAAGAAAATATGCTATATAAGGACATGCATTACTTAGTGACATTTTGGTCAGACATCACATATATAGCAGTGTTTGCCAAATGAGCTTTTTAAAGAACTTACTCCTGTTAAGCAACACATGAAATAATATTCAGCCATAAAAAAGAACAGTTTACTATTTGTAACAACGTGAATGAACTTTGAGGGCATTATATTGAGTAAAATAGATCAGAGAAAGACAAATACTTCATGTTTTCACTAGTATGTGGAATCTGAACAAAATAAAACAAAAAGAAAGCAATAGATGTAGAGAACAGATTGATGGTTACTAGAGACAAGGGATGGTGGGGGCAAAATGAGTGAAGATGGTCTAAAAGAATAAACTTCTACTTTTTTTTTTTTTCTTTAAGATTTATTTATTTATTTATACAAGCACTGGGTACAGTCAGAAGCACAGGAGGGTGAGAGAGTTCACCAGAACAGGGAACAGAATAGACAGACTGACGAAACACACTGCTGAGGGGTGCAGCGGGCGCGGCAGGAGAGGTCTGTGCGCCATGTGGGACCCTCGCCAGCGGCCTGGGATCGAACTGGAGCTGCAGAGGCTGCGGGCAGCTTTGCAGCCCAGTGCTCAACTGCTGCATCACCAGGGGAGTCCCAATAAGCTTCTGTTTTTAAAATAGTAAGGGAATGTAATGTACAGCATTATGACTATAGTTAACAATACTCTATTTTATATGTGAAAGTTCATAAAAATAGATCTTAAAAGTACTTATCAGGGCCTCCCTGGTGGTGCAAGAGGTTAAGTCTTATACTGTGAAGCTATTAGTAGCCACTGCATCACGAGTTCGATCCCTGGCCAGGGAGCTAACCCACATGGCGCAGCAGATCTCTCCTAGGAGTCTTGCCTGCTCTTCCTTCCCCTCAGCAGTGTATTTCAGTCAAGCAACCTTTTCTGCTTGTCACACTGTCTCTGGTGAATCCTCTCACAGACCGCCCCCCCCAACCTTTAGCCTACACACCAGCTCTTGTATGCATAAATAAATAAAATAAATCTTAAAAAAAAAAAAAAAGTCCTTCTCAGAAGAAGAAAAATGTTGTAACTGTGTGATGATGGATTTCAACTAGATTTATTGTGGTGATCATTCCACAGTATAGGCAAATATAGAGTAATAATGTATATCTGAAACTAATGTAATATTGTATGTCAGTTACACCTCAATACAAAAATAACATTTAGGTACCACTAATGTGGTAGATGGAAAAGTGTAGGTGTTTTTGTCAATTGGGATTGGGTATTGATGGGGTGGACCTGCTGGTTAGGTGTTTTCATATCACAAGGGCAAGGGTGGGATTTTCAAAACTGGAAGAGAAGATGCTGTGAATGCCAGAGGTTTCCTGTATTCACTGTTTTACAAGCGGGGTATGGATGTATGTATGCCTGCTTGTACTTTTTAAAATGGAAGCATAAACTCTAAGTAGACCACGTGGGCATCTCTGGAAGGAGGAAGGAAGGAAGACGGGTTTTTTTTTTCCCTGTGCAACATTGAACTCATGTTTACAAAATTACAAAACAAATGTCTATCAAATGATGGGGAGAGCACTACTCTTAAAATTAGAAGCAAAAAAAAAAAGAATGAATTTCAGTTCACGTTGATTATGTTTCACCTTAAGTGATTTAATCTCAGGATGTATTTCATGTAACTTAAGACATTTTAGTTTGACTGTAGATGTTTTAGTGGCTATGCGGTAAGGGCTAGTAGGAATTATCTTAGGCTGTTTTTGGAAGCAGTATTACTGGCTTCAGGTTAACAATACCATAGTTTTACTGTTACTTGTAAAAGAAAATAAATAACACCTTTAAGAACCAAAATTTTCAGCAAGATAAAAATGCAAATATGAAATTAAAGTACTTAAGCTAGGGCCTCCCTGGTGGCGCAGAGGTTGAGCACTGGGTTGCGAAGCTGCCCGCAGCCTCTGTGGCGCTGGTTTGATCCCCGGCTGCTCCCCGGCCACCAGAGGAGGGTCCCACATGGCGCGCAGACCTCTCCTGCCGCCCGCTGCTCCCCTCAACAGTGTACTTTGGTCTTTCTGCCTGCTCTGCTCCCCGATCTGGCTCTGGTGAATTCTCTCACCCTCCCGCACTTCTGACTGTACCCAGTGCGTGTATAAATAAATAAATAAATAAATCTTTAAAAAAAAAAAAAAAAAAAAAGACCTGAAAAC